GGCCGTAGCCTGCGGCCCTGCCCTGCCCTGCCCTTGCTCCCATCCTTCCCCAGACTCGGTACCGTCATTTTGAAAGCTCTGCCGTTCTCACGAGCCTGCGGCGGCACCTCAGGGCGGCTGGAACCTGCGCTTCCCTGACCCACTCGCAGCCGGCGATGCTGAGCGTCCCTTGTGTATTTCTTTGCCATCCTGTGTCCTCTTTGGCCAAGTGTCCAAATCCGTGACCTGTTTCCTAATGGGATTATTCATTCTCTTACTGCTGAGTTTCGAGAGTTCTTTCGTACGCTCTGGATGCAGGTCTTTTGTCAGATATATGATTGTCAAATGTTTCTCCCATTTCGTGGATTATCTTTTCATTCTCTGAAGGGCGTGTTTGGCAGAACGGAAGGTTTTAATTCGATCGAGTCCCATTTATCTTTCTTCTCTCCCGCGGATTGTGTTTAAGGCCACAGATTTTCTCCCATGTTTTCCTCCGGAAGCTTCATACTTCCACGTTTTACGTTCAGGCTCACGACTCATTTTCGCTTCGCTCGATGAGGTGGGAGGCACGGGTCCGGTGTCACCTTGCTGCATGCGGACGTCTGCTTGTCCGGCACCGTTTGTCCAGCAGACTAGCCTCCCTCCACTGAACTAACTGCCTCTGCACGTGACCAAAAACCAGCGGACCACATTTGTGTCTCTTTCCTCGGCAGCGAGTGTTGGTAGTTTGTGTATTTCAAGGGATCGGTCCATGTCATCGAAGTGTTCGCATTGGTGGCCGAGGAATAGGTGACAGTGTTCCTTTGTCACCCCCTCTCGTGGCCGGCCGTGGCCATTCGCGTCTTCTCTCCTTGTCCCGTGGGCAGCCTGGCCGGCAGTTTAATGTTAACGATATTTAATGTTAACGATATTTCTCAGAACCAGCTCGTGTTGCTCAGCTTCCTGTTTCCGTTTCACGGTGTCTGCTCCGATGCCGATGGTTTCTTGGTTTGCTTGCTCGGGTTCGGTGGGGACTGGGCGAGTGAGCCTGGAGCCCCTTCCCCGGGGAGCACCATGGAGGGTGACCTGTTGTGGGGTTCTCAGCAGCAGGGTTCGCAGACTCTGGGAGATGCTGGCTTCGGTCCCCAGAGACTACGAAGAGATCATGGAGAGTCTGCAGCAGAGGATGACCCAGCGGCCAGAGCCGGGGGCCCCCGAGCCCAGAGACAGAAGGCAGATCTCGCCTTTGATGGTGAGGCGGGCAGGGAGGAGCTGCGGGCGGGGCGGGGCCTCCCTCGGGCCCTGGGCTCCCTATCCGGCCTGGTTGAATATCCTAGAACCTTGGGGTGGGGTCGGTGGGAGGGTTTCCCAGTTGGCCATGCCTGGCAGGGAGATAGAGCCAGCTCCAAGTTCTCCTTGGGTGGGCTTAGGTAGACAAATACCCCGAGCCCCTCCTTCCCTGTGGAGGATGGGGACACAACAGTCCACCACCCCGACGGCAAGTACGAGACCTCGACGTCACGACCCCCTAGGAATTGCTCTGATTGTCCCGGCTCCCACGCATCTCGCCTCCCGTCACTGCGGAAGGGTGTCCCGTTGTAGGGTGTGACGCGGCTTATCCCCATGGTCACCTCTTGGGTCGCCCCAGCAGCATGGGGTTTTCTGGGCCGGCCTGTCCTGGGAATCGCAGGCCAAGACTTCCCGCGGGCAGGGCCTGGGAGTGGGAGACAAAGGTGGCGTCGTCCCCACCCCACAGGCCACCAGGGCCATCCACGAGCTCCTGCTGGAGCCCCGGCAGCGGATAGAGGTGCAGAGCTTGTTCGCCTCGCTGTTCATGGCCCTGCTCCTCCGGACCTCGTTCCTGGTGGCCGTGGGGGGCGCAGAGCCCAGTTGGGACCAGCAGCACGGCGCCGAGAGCATGGACCCCATGAGGTACGTCTGGCTGCCGGGCCGGACGTGCTAGTGACCGTGCTCCAGGGCTACCCGCTGAGCACCGAGGTCCAGGTGTCCCCCCGCCTGCCTGCCCTGATTTCAGCCCTCGGCTTCCGAGTGCCCTCTTCACGCCCCCACCCCATCTGCCAGCTCCCTGAGCCTGTCCCCACATCTCCTTTCAACACGTCCTAGAGGACGTTTCAGAAAACACTGTTTACCTCCGGCTCAGCAGCCCGAGGTCCATGCCAAGGTGCGTGAGCACAGTAGCAGCCTGGAGCCCTCCGGCCGTCTGCTGGCTCCCTGTGTCACCTCAGAGACGTCGTGGCCTTGGCGCCGCATCCTTAAAGCGTCAGCCTGTGCCCCCAGGGGCTGTCCCGCCCCCGCAGACCCTCAGGGAGGTCCGGGTGGGCAGAGAGGTGGCACGGGGTGGCGATGGCCTCCCGCTGTTCTCTGCCCTCCCCAGCTCCACTGTGGATGCGCTGAAGGCCTTGATGCGAAGCGCTGGGTACGGGGACCTCGTGTCCTATGTCCAGAAACTTGGGGGCTGGGAGCTGCTCGCCAGTCGCGAGAGACACCACGAGGGTGTGGCTCTCCTGGCCAGGTAAGCCTGTGGCCAGGTAAGCCTGTGCCCGCCCCTGGCCGAGGGCCACCCATCCCGTGCCCTCTGCGGTGGCCCAGGCCTGGCCCTCAGCGGCGTGCTCCCGCCGGCAGGGCCATGGTCATCAAGAGCTGCTGGCACAACCGCCCCGTCTTCAGCCTCGTCATCGGGGCCCTCCAGGCGCACGACGGCACGGACCACTTAACGGCCCTCACGTTCGCCACAGAGGTGAGCGGCCCTCAGTGCGGGAGGCGGGAGGAGGAGGTCCCCCTCCGACACCTCCAGGGAAGGCCACCGAGGAGAGGGGCCCGACTTCCTGTCGCTGGGGCACGTCGTTAGTGGCCCGTTCAGTCGCAGGTGTGACTCTACCTGGTGTGCCCGCCCCCCTCGACCTTAGGGAACAGAACAGCCCTGTCTCCCACCTCCTCGGCCTTCGTCAGGCTTTTCAAGTTCGCCTTTGCTCAGGACCCCTGACTGGCTCAGCGTATTTTAGCCACCTGACAGCGAAAAGTATAGAAAACTTAGACACTACGGAAAGGAATTTTAAAAACGACAAAGCCATTAATAATCACAATAACAGAGGAAACCACGTTTGGGTTTTGGCGTGAAAGGAGGTGCGTGCGTGCGTTTGCCCGCCGCCCATGCTCTGAGGGCATTCTGGGTTTCGCTCTCTTTAAACATCGTATGACACCACGTTTCCTCGTAAACGTGAATTTTCACGGCGACGCATTATTTCATCACCAAGACGCTCTATCATCTGTTGGGCATCTCGTTTCTGCTTTTACACTGTTCCGGATAACACGGCCGCAAACTTCTCTGCGCGAAGGCCTTCCGTGTTCCGGTCACCTCCCTGGATATCGAACGTAACGAGGACAGTGTTGGTTGAGACATGAGTGTCTTCTGTGACGTTCGATACTAAGCCAAGTCGCTTTCCAGTAAAATAGACCCGATTTATACTTTGGCGTTTGGGCGAGTTTCAGGAGTTCTGACTCACCCCAGCTTTAAATAGGCTCCTTTAAAAATGCGAACTGCCTGAATTCCTTTTCTTTTTTGTGGGAGCTGGATTGTTTTCAAACACGGCAGAGATGGGAGAGCACAGGGCCGATATTAGAATCTAAACAGATACTGTGCCCACGTGGACAGTGTCCTCCTAGGTCTCGGGACATCGGCGTCTTGTCGGAAGGTGCCGCTGGCGCGAGCTCGCGTGGGCCCGCACGTTGGGAAGAGTGGGCGCTGACGGGCGCTCGGGGCACGCAGGGCGGGGAGCCTGAGTGGGAGGCGGGGCCCCGTCACGCCGCCGTCACCGGGGGAGCTGCTGGAGCGGACCTTCCTGGGTGCTGGCCCCACAGGCTGGGCTCAGTGGCTCAGGGGTCAGGCCCAGGAGGTGGCATTTTCTGCAAACTCTCGGTGCTTGTGGTCCTCGGTGGGTGGTCCTTGGACCAGCTTTGAGAAGCCGGACAAGGTAGAAGCCGGTGGCAGGGGCCGTCACGGGAGGGGGGCCGCCCTCCAGCCGCAGCTCTGGACTCTGGCTGCAGATGACACTCCCCGGGGAG